AACGAGATGGATCAGCCAGGTGGCATCATTGATGGTGTCAAGTGTGGCAGCGGTAGTGAGGTTGGCCCAGGATCGGACATTGTTTCATTCTGCTGTACATGGGGTAGCTATGAGTCGGTTCTGACTTGATGGCACCTGACAACAAAAACAATGTTAAGATGCTTGGCTTTCTTTTGAATCTTGGTTTCCCTTGCCTACCATTGTAAATTAGACACTTGAGGGGGAGAGAAAGGAATAACTAGAAACATCACAATAGAAAGCTTGTAAGTCCATCTTCAGCCTATAACTGATTGGAATACCTTAAAGGGAGCTAGAAGTTGCCCAGTGAAAGTGACTTCCTGTGGAGCCTTTGCATTACATAAGACCATAGGTGGAATCCTGAACCCCATCCAGAATCATCTGAGGTGGGAAATTTCCACTTGAAAGGACAAGTAGACCAACTTTGAATGGCTAGAAGAACAGATACTTCATGAAAGAAAGACTGGCAGGAAAAATAAAAAACAATACGGCAGTCTGATTATTTACTACAAGAACAAGTAAGCTGTTCATCTGGGAGCCATCAAGGCAAGTGGTCTGTCCCCTCAGAGCAAACTCCCTTCCAAGACTACGACTAAAGAGGAATACACAAGCAGGCATGTGGTCTGAGTGGTGAACACTTTGGTCCCCGTTAAGGGGAAGTGAGGGAAAAACAGCAATGAAGTTGGGAGCTAAGTCCGACCACATTCTATAGGCTCCTGTGAACCTGGGTGGAGACCTTGTTGGCCAACAGTATGGCAAGACCTGGGGACTCCTGGGCCCAGAGACAGTGACATGCCCACAAAGGGCTAGAACAGAGAGTGAAGCTGATATGAAGTGAGGGGAGATGTACAAGAACACCCATACTTGCAGATAGTACCCACTTGACCTGGCTTCAATAGCTGGATGATCAGAACTCAACTAGAAGAAGAAAAAAGGGGGGTGGTGGGGGGGAATTACAATTTAATGAACTTTACCTATACTTATGGGTGTAGTAGCTCAAAAAAGGAAGAAATGGTTATAACGAGGATCACTCCCACACCCTCAGTACACAGGGTTGACAGGGATGGGCAACTTAGACATTGGCTACCCAAAATGGGGTGGGGGGGGCTATAAAGGCAAGAAGTGACTGGCTTACAAGCTTTCAAGAAGAAGCCTAGTTCCAGATGGGGCGGGGGAAGGTAGAGTCACCACTGAATGATTTCCAATCTGTTGGGATGGGGCTGATGAAAGGAGATGGGGATAAGAT